CAAGTGGGATTATATCAAGCTTAAAAATTCTGCATATCAAGGGAAACAATCAATAGCATAAAAAGGCAACATATAGAATGGGAAATAATATTTACAAGCCATATGTCTCATAAGGGGTTTATATTACAAAATACATAATGAACTCTTACAAGTCTATAGATAAATAACTAAATAAATGGTTAAAAATAGGCAAAAGACTTGAATAAGTTATATCTCAAAAAAAGACATGTGAATGGCCAAGAATTATATAAAAAGGTGCATAGCATCATAAATTATCAGGGAAATAAAATACTGTACAATAAATCAAATATAAAATTTGTATTTAATTGCAAAGTGCAACTAAAATTGCATGGAAAAATCACCTCGTATCTGTTAGAATAATTTTTACTAAAAAAACTCCCCCCAAAACTAATAAAGCAAACAAAAAATATGTGTTGGCAAGGTTGAAAGAGAAATTGGAACCATTGTACACTGTTTTGGGGGGATGTAAACTGGTGCAGTAGCTATGGAAATCAATATGGGAGTTCCTCAAAAATAAGAAATAAAACTATCATATGACCTAGGGATCCCACTTATGGATGTATATCCAAAGAAATTGAAATTGGCACCTTGAAGAGATATCTGCACTCCCATATTCACTGCAGCACTATCTACAATAGCCAAGATATGGATACTACCTAAATGTCTATGTAAGGATGAACGAGTAAAGAAAATGTGGCATATACGTATAGTGGAATGTTATTCAGACTTTAAAAGAAAAGAAGGAAATGCTACTATCTATGACAACATAAATGAACCTAAATGAAATAAGCCACTCAGAAAAGGACAAATACTGCATGATTCCACTTTCATGAAGAGTCTGAAATAGCCAAAACCATAGAAGCAGAGAAAATAATAATGGTAGCCAGGGCTTCGGCATGTTGAGAGAAATGGGTTATTACGCAATTGTTATAAAGTTTCAGATATGCGAAATGAGTAAATTCTAAAGATCTGCTGTACCACAGAGTGCCTATAGTTAACAATACAAATATTGTGCAATTAAAAATTTAAGGGCCTAGATCTCATTTTAGTTGTCCTTATCACGCTAAATAAAGAAGCACACAATTGCATGGAACCCCTGGGAGGTGCTGGGTATGTCTATTACCTTGATTGTGGTGATGGTATCATGGGTGTTTGCATACACCCATACTCACCAAATTGTACACATTAGATATGTGCAGTTCTATTTATACCTTGATACACTGTTTTAAAAAGAAACAAAGAAAAGAGATAAAAGAAGAACAAAAGAGAAAGAAAAAGGAAAGAAAAAGAAAGAAGGGGAGAGAGAGAGAAGAGAGGGAGAGAAGAGAGAGAGAAAATACAGAGAAAGGAAGGAAAGAAGGAAGGAAGGAAGGAAGGAAGGAAGGAAGGAAGGAAGGAAGGAAGGAAGGAAGGAAGGAAGGAAGGAAGGAAGGAAAGGAGGGAGGGAAGGTGGGAGGGCTTCAGTGAGAACTAACTCAGCACATTTTTAAAATTGCAGTCACTGGCTGAAAATAAAACTGGATAGAGTTAAAAAAAAAAAAGAGAGAGAGAGATGAGTATTGCCTGGAATGAAATGATGAAATGTGTCTGAAAGCAAGAAAAGTCAATTTTTTACTGATAAGATAGGAAAGTTCTTAGGAAGATTAACAAATAAGAGAGAGAGAGAGTCAATGTTAATATCCTAGTTTCTGTATGTTTGGATTCTTAAGTATTTTGTAGTTTAGCCTCAAAAATAGATATTTGATTTGTTATAACTGGGTAGCAGTTTATTTGAAATTAAATATTTTATGGGATATCTGAAAAGTGTGAGTGTGTTTGTGTGTCTCACAAATGCTATAATAGTTATAAAAATGTTAGGGATATTTTACTCTAGAAATCTTGAGCAGGAATCCAGAAATATTTTTGAGTAGGTTCTCTATATTTCTTTCCATTTTTGAGTGAAAGACACACATATAAACTCATTCTCTGTTTAGGGTAAAGCAGCATGTTGTGTTTTCAGATATTTTAATTAAGTTTCTATGGCACTTGACTGTGATTAGTGGAGGCAGAGAATCAGCTACCTACATACTTCCGTGATGGGACACCAGGAAAAGTAGATGCTGGAGATACAAAGTGGTGCAATTTATTTATTGATGTTATTAACATTTATGTTACTTAATCTATATTTCCCTGCTTGAGTTTTTTCATGCTGCTACATAATGAACAAAAAGATCATTCCTAGTTTGTCAATAGTATCTCCTCAAAATGGCTATGCTGAAAAGATCCATGTATCTTTTTAAATAATCTACCTAATTTGTTGTTCCAGTGTATTCTATCTATAAACCAGAAAGCAATGGCCTTTGCCAGCCTTAAGTCTATTTTTGCGTTCAGTCAACAATGCAATTGTGTAGATCAGAGTTGTTCATAGTAGTCAAAAGGTAAGAATCACTTAATATATTTGTTAATATAATAATTCCAACACCTCTCTTCCAGATATTCTGATTCTGAAAATTGGTATGGATACTAAGAATCTGTACATTAGATGATACTGATAATTAGAAAAGTTTAAGCAATACTTATGAAAATTATTGAGAAGAAAAAAATAACAGAAGATACAATCCGAAAAATGCAAACATCCTTTGCCCAATCTTAGAAATATAGAATATAAAATATTACAAATAAATTAGTTGAAATGATGTTATAAAATGTTATGTTCCTTGAAGTTGAAATTAAATTCAGAAAAACAATTTAAAAAGCGATTATTTTATCCCTTTTATGGTCTTTGAATGAAAATATACAATAAAACCAAAACTAATTAGAAAGGCTGGAGTCTCTGAAGGGTCTTTCAATAAGCAGAAATAAACAAATGCATAAAACAAAGAGTAAGATTGGAGACCAAAATGTCACCTTCATTTTTGGTAGAGACCAAGATAGAGTATGTCAACCCAGTGGCCTGTGAATTGGGCACAGAATATGGGTGGCCATACCATGAGAAGAGCCATCTCTGCAGAGATAACTCAATTTGTGCTTGCTCCACGAGGAAGGAGGTGGATCTGTAGATAGATTCCTGGTTGTTCTTCTTACATTTACCAATCAGGTCAGTCACAGCATCTTCCTAGAGACAGATTGAGGAAAGAATCAGGAAGGCTGTGAATGTGCTTAGGACCAATCCCTCCTGGGAGAGACCAGGATTGGGGGAAAAAATATTCCTTTAACAGTAAACACATGGAAATTAGTCAATATCCTTGTTTATCACTGAATGATCTCTTTTAGGTGTCTTTTATGATTTATTTCATCAGCTCCTACATTTCTCTCACTAATTCTGAAACACAAAGTCTGAAAATTCAGCCAGCCATAAGAACATAATTATAAACACAATGTGAGCATAACCTACTAATTAAGATTAAAATATGTGATTGAACTAACATTCCATTATTATCTCAAGTATCCAGTCTGACACTGTTCATTATTGCATTTTACATTATTGTAATAGATATAGAAGACAGAGGGTCAGGAATTATTTAATGGATGAGTTAGAGCTGGCATCTCAACGATAGAAGGGTAATTTAGTTATAGATATAGAAGACAGAGGGTCAGGAATTATTTAATGGATGAGTTAGAGCTGGCATCTCAACAATAGAAGGGTAATTTAGTTATATTAGTGAGTCTAAGAAGAAGTATTGCATAGGCTTTGTAGAGGAAGCAAAGAAGAGAAAATGATTTATCACCACACCCCATGTAGCCACTTGTCATATTCTGGGAATATCGAGCAGCTTTTTGATGGGGCATGAGGATGGATGGTGAGAGTGATGTGGTGCAGCTTAAGAGACAGAAAGGAGTTGGGGACAGCTTGCGGGGGTATTTATGACATACTTAAAAGTGTTTTCCTTGTCTTGTGGGCTAGTAGTTTGGAAACTTTTATTCATGATACTTATTTGTAAAAGTTTGAGAATATACCCCAATTATTTATATTTATATATCTATATGTCTACAAATACAGACAGCATATTACATACATGTGATACCATTGAACTGTTAATTAATTAATGTTGCTAAGGTTTGACATTCTTCAATCCTAGATAAAAAAAAGTAACATAGAAAAATGTTGTTGATTAAATATATATTTAGTTTGTCTTCCACCAGAACATATATAATGACAGTAAAGAGGCTTTTAAAAAGACATAAATCCACAAGGACAGAGAGTGGAAGAGGAATAAGAGAAGAAATATTTCAGAAAGATGAGAACACATGAAAACGTGGAAATGTGCTTAGTAAATCCCTGGAAGTTGAATCCTAAGCTGCAGTAGGGGAAGCCAAGAAGTAACTTGACTTTTACCTCAGTACTCCTAAAGGGTTCATGAACTGATGCCATCATCACACCTGTAAGTGAAGGTGAGGAAAGGGCTAATAACAAGATCCATTTTAAGAAATGTTTACAGTTCAAGATAGAATACACAGTCTTCCCTCTACCCCACTTTGTGCAGATGGAGTAGCATTCTTTCTCCCCTTCTGACAGAAGACTGGAGATTTAATATTGGACAGGTTAAAATCAAGTGAATCTGACCAGATATACACTACTGGACACAGATGAGGTAAGGGATATTATCCTGAAAACAAAGGGATCAAGTGGCTGCAAATTGAATACTGGGATTCCCAACTCCCTTTTATCTCTTACCTTCTAGATTACTGGCAAACAAGCCTAAACCCCAGATGCTTCCCTGGGGAATATAATAACCCTTGAAAGAAAATTTAAAAAAAAATTTATTATGGATTTTCTAAGAAAACAACTCTACCAGATAATTTACTATTAAGGTCAAATTCAATA